TCGCTGCTCTTGGCTTTCTTTAGCTGGTTTCTGGAGGAGGTATAGTTAGACGGCTATGATGAAACAAGATGGTAAAAGACTTATCTAGGAAATCAAGAACGAATCATGATGATTATTTAAGATCACACCTCTCCTGCCAGCCTCACAACTGAGATCTGAGGATAAAATGAGATGACAAATGTGAAAATTCTATGAAGACTGCCTGAAGAGTTATGCAAATACAAACTTGCTCTGTTGTTTCCATGTTTGGTTTAAGGAGAAGCTGGTACCCTCCTTGGAAGCAAACTCAACTTAGACTTTTTAAAAAAGAAAAAAAAAAAATAAGGAGCGTGAAATCCTGGAAAATGGCTATTTTGGTGAAGCACACATCAATTCCAACTCCCATGTTCTGCCCCCTTCTGCTCAGCAATCTGAAATAGAGGTTTGCAATTTTCCTCATTCCCCCAAAGTAGTTCCACTTTTTGTAGTTTCCCGGAGTGCCAAGAGATTCCTCCCTCCGATGAAACCTTTCTTCAGATAGGTCTGACCTAGCACAATGCCCAGGCAGGGCAAAAGCTTTGGGGGAAAGTGGAGCAGTTGGGATTTGCCCAGACCATCTGGGAAGCCTGTGGCTTCAGTGAAGAAAGAAAAGGCTTTTCCTAAAATGCAAAGGCAAAGGCAAGAGAGACCCAGGATGACTCTTACCACTGGACTAGTCAGTTCCTGTTTACCTTTTCTTCAAGTAATTGCCTTTTCTCTCTCCTGAAACTCTACTAGCTTCACCAAAATCCCAGAGTATTGTTTTCTATTGGAAGTTACTGTCCTTTGGTAGCTTCTCTCTCTCTCTCTCTCTCTCTCTCTCTCTCTCTCTCTCTCTCTCTCTCTCTTTCTCTTCTCTCTCTCTCTCTCTCTCTGCTTTGTGGATTTCACATTATGCATCCCGATTCGAGATCCCATTTACTTTCCTGTCCCCTTGCTTCTTACTTCTGCCCTTACAACCTCCCCCACAAAACAAATTTAAAAGTAAATCCAAAATGCCAGAACCTCTCTCCTCAAAACAAAAACGACCCAGTGAGTCACACAGTATACCATTTGGTCCATACATCTTCTGAATTGTTCATTGCAGTGAGTCTGCATTGGGCGAACCAGCTGGGGCAGGACTGGGAGTTTGTGTGGGTGTTGATGATGAGGGAGAGCTGCTGGGATGACAACCCAGCTACCACCTAAACCCAGAACCAGGCCTATAATTAGCCCACCCCAACATCCACCTCATCTGTAAACTGCTGGAGTGTGAAGGAGCCAATCTGCAGGATCTCCATAACACAAGGAAACAATAGGACATCTAAGAGGGTCCCAGTGAGGGGCCAGTATTGATGGTGTAACAGAAGCCAGAGGCCTCGGTATGGACCAATGACTCTTCACAATGAACACTTAGTCTGCCCTTTTATACTTTGAAAGACAGTGCACATTGTCAGTAATGACAAATCTTGACAATATAGTAAGAATGTATTGCCATTGTCCTTGTCTGTTTGTGCCAAATGGGACAATTCTGGTGATGTGGACACATTGACTACCTCTGCCTTTCAATACACAGAAGCTGAAAATGTACCACACAGCGGACAGCACATGTGTTACTATTGCGCCATATGTACCAAAATAAAGTTTAAAATGTCAAGTGAGTGTTTTTCCTCTTGGGTTAAGAAGGCTTGTGTATGCACTTGGATCATTGATAAGAACCAATTATACCAGTCTACACTCTACACTCAGAACATTTCAGATCAGTGGTGGCTTTTACTAGATGTAATCATGTGGATAAAAAGTAAACTTAATGCAGAATTGTCAGGGTGTGAGTATTTCCATACTATTGCTACATATTACAGGCAAGTTTGTTAAAGAGATGAAACTCAAACTCAAATGCTCAATTTTGCCCAACAAATCCTTTTCTCATTCACCTCTTCCTGATACACTTAATGGCCATTGCGTAATTTAGCTTGGTATTTGGCATTCTTATTCTGTGTTCCTCATATAGCAAATGTTTGCCACTTTTCCCTTTTGCATAAGGTTACTCCACCAGGCTTCGACTGTTGATCGAGCTGCTCCCTCCCATATTTGTGTTCAAAGTAGGCACTGCTAAAGTGAGCATCTTTGCTGCAATTTAATTTTAACTTTCTGTGGGAAGTTTGTTCGTTAGAATAAACGGAGTGGTATTCCTGTGCCAAATTTCAAGGAATTTCTGGAAGGTGCTGGTCATAGAAGTCAGATGGAGACACAGTTAAGTGCCTGAGTCTCCTGATGAGGATGTGATGAAAGACAGGACTCATGGGGATGTCTGTTACAGCCTGAAGTCTCAGGGACAAACTTCAGGGACTCTTTCCATAGTTGGTCCAAATGTCAGTGCTCTAACTGGAAATGGAGTGGGCTGGCTGTCCCATTCCTTCAGGGTCAGCTGTGGGTAGAAATGTAGGATTTGACTCTGGAATTTGGAGAAAGTGATGGGGAGGAACAGGAAGTTCAAATAGAGGGGTGTGGCTCACTCCTGTCAGAAGGACCATGGTCCTGGAGCCATAATGCTTTCCAAGCCTCAGGCAAAGCCATGGGTGCTCTGTGCAAATAGGACCTTGGAAGCTGAAGGGAGAAGATCAGGTGTGCAGTCATCAAAATTGCTGAAAAGCCTCAAATTCCCACCTCTCTTCTCACTAATGGATTCAGAGAAAGGCCTGTCATTTATTCGCATTTTCCATTTCAGCTAATGGGTTTTCACTAGTTTTGTCAAACTGCAATTAAATAACTTGGCAAATGTTGCCTTTGACACAGTCTTTCGAGAGAAACAGCATACTTGAGGAAAGGGAGAAAAGGGGCCACGAGGCAGGCCATACTGTGAGAGTTCTGAATTTGTCATCACCCCATCCTCTGGGTATATTGGTAGTTCAGGAACTGCCAAGGAGGAAATATGTTTTGGTCCATGTGGATGTGAACAGTTACTGCTCTGTTTACCAATTACCACGCGCATCTGCTTTGCCTCTCACACAGGCTATGTCCTGAAGACCTTTAAGAGGTCTTTTTTCATTTTCCTCCATGTGGCTGTATTATGAATAATATCAGCATCTATATCCATCCCCATGATAAAAAACAAATGTATGTAGGTTTTAGTAACCAGCATTCCACACACATACACGACATACTAGGTTTATACCATATCATTCTTAAACATATTGGAGAAGTTGAACAATGCTGGATCATGGCATGTCCTCACAGGCCTCTAGCTCTCCATCCTATCATTTTCCCAGTTTCCAGTCAAGAAAACACTCCAGCCAACCTTAATTAGAGCTTGCTCTGGAACCTAGAGATGACCACAATGTGTTTTTAGTCATTTACAAATGTATACATTTTCATGCTCGATTACTGCTTTTAAACCCATTTTAAGGCCTTGAGAAGTGTCCAGGGACTGTTTGGAAGTGTAATCATCTTGTTCTAGGATGAATAATGGGATTATAAAATGATGAATGAGGAAGGCAGGGAGAAAGGATTTATAGTATATGCTGCAAACAAAATGCAACTCACTGGGTTTTCTTTGAAAATCCCTTTGCCTTGGTGGCTAATCCATAAAAGTAAGCCATCGTTTGGGAGGCTGGCTAGCACTCAGCCATAAATGAAGATAGAAGGAGGCCTGCAGAAGGAGGTAATCTCCAAGTAAAGGGCAGGGAAATGGGATTGGAATAAGAATATGGGTCAGGAAACTGGTGTAGTCAATGGGAAGAAGATTGGGTTGTGGAAATCACTGTGTTGCATGTGAAATCATCTTGCTCAGTTCTCACAACAGCCACAATAGCATTTTTGTGTGTGGAGAAAAATCCCACTCATTTAGACCAAGAGTACGCTCTGTTGCTGTCTGGTCTGACATCATGCAAGTGGACGGTAGATCTGGGACTGGGTCCCTGACCTTCAACGATGCTTTCTCATGACACTCTCTTCTTTCCTGATTCAAGAAGAACATGACATTTAGAATTCCAATATTCTTTGAAGTGACAGAGGTCAGGCCTGGGGTCATTTGATTACAGGACTAGGAGAAATAGGTCAAGATGGGACGAATTTCTCCTTGCTGGCCTTGGACCAGTCAATGGCCCACAGAACTTCCCCATTTCTTTGAAATTATTTGCTTGTAGGACACTTGAGCTCTGGCTAGTTGCCAGGCTTGCTGTAAGTGCCACACACCTGGGGGCTCTTCATGCCTCAAATCTGGGTTTAGCAGAGATGTGAGAGCAAATATCCTACTTCTCTTTTTTATCATAGTCGACCTGACCATAATTTTCCTCTGCTTACCTGTCTTTTGACATCAATTAAATACATGCTATAAAATAAATTTTATTTATCCTGAAATGATAATTGGTTTATGATTGGGGAATAATTTTTAAGGGCTGTTACTTTTGTTTAACTGTGAAGCTATGCTACTTTTCCTGTCTAAAACGTCTGGTGAGCTAATAAAAAGCTGATTGTCCAATAGTGAGACAGGAGAGAGGAATAGGCAAGGCTGGCAGGCAGACAGAATAAATATGAGGAGAAGTTTGGGATCTAAGATCTGGGAATGAGAGAGGAAGGAGGAGGGCTTCAGGGGCAGCCCCATGGCCACACAGCCAGACATGGGGTAAGAAGGAAAGGAAAGGGTACAGGAATAGAGAAGGATAATAGAAATGGAATAATTTAAGTTAAGAAAAGCTGGCGAGAAACAAGCCAAGCTAAGGGTGAACAATCATAACTAAGAAAAAGCCTCCATGTGTGGTTTATTTGGGAGCTTGATGGTGTGTCCTCCCCCCACCTCCCCACCAAAGTCAAAATAATAAAGAGCCTAAAGAGTAAAACATTGCATAACAGCTTAGAAGCTGAGTCTCATGGAATCCATGGGAGCACAAGAAAGTATTTTCTACTGACAATACCTTGCATTTGTGGTCATTGTCTGCATTTCCAAGTACTCCTCACAAGCAGCTACTATTTTAACAGTATCTCCTTTTGTTTGCCTTCCCTAGAGTCGAAAACATGCAAGCAAAGTCCGACTATATTACATGCTGCACCCCAGGGACGGTGGCTGTCCTGCCAAGAGGCTCCGGGCAGAAAACGTGAGTATGTGGTACCACATGATGCCATGGGTGATTTGCTATGAATTTTGTAGGTGTAAGAATAGTAGGTATGCCTAGCTGAGTGCCAAAGCTAAAAGAATGGAGGTAATGATCATTTGCAGGCAGGGTTACAGAGGGGAGAGATTCTTGTCTATTGGTATGCTTTTTCTTTTCTACCAGAACTTGCTAATACCCTTGGGCTTTTGGTGATGTTTCTCTGGAGCCCTTCAGAGAAAGAAGATGCAGGGGTGCTGGGACAGAGCCAGCATCGGTGACAGGAAGATAGAGCCAAAGACATGTGTGAAGACAAGACCTACAGGGCAAAATTGTCAGAAATACCAAATGCTTTGTTCTTTACATATTTGATTTCTCTGCCGTGTAGAATGGAATGTCAGCTTGTTAATTTATAATGAAGACTGTACATAACTTCTACAAAGAGACATACTCGGGCTTTTTGATCAGTGACCCCCTCTCCCTGTGGGAGAATTTACTTGGGAAGACAATGAAAGTTGGGAAATTGTTTGAGGAATAATGTCAGAGCGCTGGGTTCTTTCCAGCCAGGCTTTTCTCTTGGCAGGGACTGCTATGTAGGACATCCTCATCCTCTAGCTACAGAGGTCCTGCATGCTAACACTTAACATTAGACACATTAAATGTTGGGTTCTGAGAGGCTGTGGTACCAAATTGGTACCTTGAGTCATCAGTTTGTAGGCATTGATCTTTTTAATGTGATCATTGAAGAAATATTGCAGAACATGGACTTGTGGGGGGCAGTTCTGGGAAGGAAATAAAAGATCAAGAAACTGTATCTGAAGGTGGAGAGTCTTTGGATTGTTCCCTCACACCAATGTCATGTATGACCCTTAGCATTGTAGCATGATCTGATTGCTTGTAGACTGACCAGAACACTAGAGTTATCATTTTTGCCAGGCAAGGTAGGATTCAGAGCTTGTTTGAGGAAACAAAATAAAAACAAACAGAAAAACAAAAACAAACAGAAAAACAATGACATGGAAACTTCGCAAACTCTCAAGGCCCAGAACTCAGTCTGCATTTCACTTTGGCATCTGACACAAGTAATTGACCCTGTGTGGTCAGTAGAATGCTAGTAATTATACCTCCCTCACTAGGTTTTGTGACTATTACATGAAACGGTAAGCATGGTGTACATTGGTGATGTGGTATCTATCACAAGGAAACAAGTAGACACGGCTGTCATGCTGGCAGGAAAGTGGTAGAGTAGTAAGAGCTCAGTGATGCATAAGGATTAGCTTTGATAACACAGTGCATTGATTAGCAATGTTTGAAAAGAATCACAGAGGCAAAACATAGGGGAAGCCTGCAAAAAGGTCCCAGTCAGGGAAGCTGGTTGCTGAGGGGCTGGCATTTGCTGGGCTCTGGGATATGAGTGGAGGAGTCTATCTGATGGAAGGGGGCATGCAGGAGGGAGGGAAAGGGTGCCAATGCCTTGGCTGCATGCCTGTCAAAACCTCTTGGTAAGCCACAGATGAAGGAGCCTTACTCAGCCTTTGCGGAACGTCAGAATCCTGTTCCTACACGGGAATCATACCTTCTGCTGAGGAACAGATAGAGCAGAGCAGAACAGTATATATTTCTCAAGATAACCCAGGAGTGGTTCCTGGATCCTTCCTCAGGAGTTATGGGTGCTTTACTTTCACAGTCAGGAGATGGTGAACTTCAGGCCTACTGGATAAATGGCTATGTGGACATCATATATTTATTACTTACATGTCATCATGAATGTTTCACTTGTTTGTGAGCATCTTGGCCTCTAAGGGGTAGGAACTGAAAAGGAATGGGTCTCAGGCTGGCTTTGTATTTGTAGGATGGAGGACATGGCTGTTGCCTTTTGCAGAAGATCTATGATTTGCCTCATGTGGGCTCTGTCCTGGCCAATAACCTTGAACACAGTTCATAGAAGGGGAGACATTTGGTTTTTAGAACAAGGAGAATTTTTAAGGTTTCTTATTACCCCTTTGAAAATACCCCTCCATGTATCCTGGGTTTTGGAAAATTTTTATCTACCAATGATTTATTATTCATCAAATTATTTTTCATAACTTATTAATCGTACTATGAAAGTGAATCATGAACGAAAAGCAACAAGCTAATCTTGCTTTAGGTGAAGGCATGGGTGGTGAGTTTGTTACCCCCGTGTGTACATTTCATAGGTGAAATGCCATTTCCACTATACATTTTAATGTGCTGGGTAGAGTTCAGAAACAGTTTCAGCTTCTGTCCAGGGCTCTGAAGGCATGTGCTGTATCAGGAGTAACTTGTCATGTACAGACGCACACTGAGAAAGCAAAAGAATGAATATACCATGCTCAATGATCAACCCATATATAAAAGGAGAAGGCTGACTTCCAACTGGTAGTAATTAGTCCAGCCAAGGAGAACAATCTGCTGTAAGTCGTACTTAGATGGTGGCGGATTGTTCTTTCTGAGAACAGTCCAAGAAGACCCGCATTAACTATAATGAGAGGCACCCAGCTGGACTGTTCTTCATCAATGGCAGCATCCTTAATCTTTATGCCTTGCTGCCAGTTCTGGACCAAGCAGAGAATGGCAGACATGCACCCCACACAGTGGCACAGGGTGCTTTGCCTCTAGCTGGCTCTCACCCAGCTTCCCCGACAGCAGTCTATAATCAGGGCACAAATGACTGAAGGCTTCCTTGTTTTCTATGAGGAAGCCTCCTTCTCTTTCTGGCTTTGAATCTCCCTTAAGTCCAAGTGATGGTGGTTGGCTCAGAAGTGTACCAAAGGCCATATAACTAGGTCTTGCACTTAGTAGAATGTCTCTGCTTGTTTCCACAGGGCTGTAACATGAGGATAAGATCAGTTTCATAACTTACAGCTTCATATGGGATGTCACTTGTGTTTGCTTAGTGCTTTGTTTTTACACTTTACTGTTGGCCATCTCTCTGTTAGCACCCTGGCTCCCCGAGGGATCCACAGCTCTTCTGACTTCTGTGTTTCTTCTACCCTCCCCAATTCCTGGTGCTGTGGTATGTTTGTAACCTGAGTCGGGGACTGAGACATGCTTCCATATCTTTCCCTTAACTCCAGGAAAGGGAGGCTTCTGAAAACGGAAAACAGGTTCCTGGATTTCCCCAGGCTCCTTGTGCATGCCATTCCTACCCTACTGGCAGCCCTAAGAGAACATGTGGTACCCCACATGTAGAATGGAAGTGAAGAGCCTATGTTTTTAAACCCTTCATCCATTTCTATCTCAGGCATTTCTGGCTTCCTAAAATCCCATTTGTATCTTAAAGACTCTGCAGCTGGATCTTCTGTCCCCCCCCCACCACAAACCCCCTCCCCTGAAACTTTAGAGCAGGACATTTTCCTTTGAGGCCAAAGAGTAAAATCAAATATGAAATCAATTTTTATAGCTGATTGTCTTAAAGTCTTATTTTCAATAATTCTTGACACGCTTGAGTCAGATGGACTTGAGAGATGCACTAACCCACACTGGCTCTGCCTCGCACTACTGGCCTTCTCATTATCTTCTCCCCATGCATCACATGCTTTTGCAAACATCTATTTAGGAAATAGCACTTTAAGGAAAACTTGGGTTCAGATTTTGTTGCTTTTAATTCTCGAACAGCATAAACAGCTGCCAATCAAAGTTGCCAATCACTGCCAAGTAAACAACACATTTTTTATAGAGTTGTTATATAATACCCTATAAAGGGTGCAGCTTGCGTTTGATTAGTATGATGAGGATGCACAAATTCACTTTGAGGTCTGAAACTTTCAGCATGGCTTGAGGACTTTCAGATCCCAGCCATTGTGGAATCCAGGTGGGAGTTGAGTCTAGACTTTTCTTATTACTGAGGTAAAATGAGGATGAAGATAGATATGCCATGGCATGCCACAGCTGAGCTTGCTACCCTACTGCTTTCCCTCCTTTCTCGAAGCTGCCTCTGACCTTTGGTATCAATGCTGAGTCCTGATCTAGAACAACGTTACTGGCACATTCTTCACATGTGGTCTAAGCAAGTGACTTTAGTAGCATTTCCCCTCAATCTCTGTATAAGGTAGAGGCAGGCATTATCTGTAGGCAAAGATATTGAATGACTTGACTCAAGTCAGACAGCTGGTAAATGACAGTGACATGTCTGGGAAAACAGAAAACAAAATCAAAGAAAGCTTTTTTTTCTGGGTGTGTCCCCTGGCTTTCTTATGCTACTTCAGGAGACAGCTTGTATGCCTCCTTAAGTGCTGGGAAGCACTAGACACTATTTCACCTCCATACCGGTGAGATTATTCACCAAATACAGCATTAGGAACGAAAGTCTAGGTTAAAAACCGAATGTGGAGACATGTGCCTGTGGTCACAGAACTTAGGAGGTGGAGGCAGGAGGATCAGGAATTCAGGCTTATCCTGAGCGGAGAGGGGAAAGACCTGGGAGAGGAGGGAGATGGATAGATATACATAGATATGGATAGATATGTAGATATAGACAGGGAGATAGATGGATGATAGGTGATAGATGGATCGATAGAATATACATGAATGTCTGATCTAGTAGACACAGATAGCAGTCTTTCGTCTGTAGCCCTAATACACATTGTGCCTGAACTCTGCTTTCTTCACTGGTATGAGCTGGATTCATAGTAAAAATTTTAAGGCAGGTGCATTTCCACACCCACTGGGTGTTTGGACTCCCAGACTTAGAGTTAAAAGATGGGGCTCTGTTCCTGGCTCTGCTACATATTAGTTTGATAACATTGTTTTGAACGGCTGAACCTTAATTACTATGATTATAACTGGGGCTGTAATTACTGCTCTTGCCTGTCTTTCAGAAGTGTGAAGGGGCTCAAATAAAATCTTCCCTTTTGTGAAAGAGCATGATAGAGTCTGAAGGGTATGGAAAGTGTTAATGCAGGGAGACTTGCCTTTGTTTATGGATTATTTCCTGATTTCTGGTGCCTCCCACAACTAACCAGCCCATGTCTATGGACTTCTAC